TTCATCAAAACATTTAGAAAATAATTCCGAATAGACCGCAGTCATTGGAATTGTTAATAGTCTAAAAACATTTAGACCAAAACTTCATTTTTATAATAAAATAAAGATTTCACATATCATTATCTTAAATCCGGTCAACAAATCCGGTCAACAAATCATCCGGTAATCAAGTCCGGTCAACAACCGTCCGGTTTAAAACACTTGGAATAAAAATCCACTTTGTCCGGACATCTAATCCGGTCAACACATCACATACTCTTTGAACGGTTAACACTTAGAGCAAAATCATAAATTGAACGGATAACAAATCCGGACAACAGTCCGTTCAAGACTCGTCCAGTTTAAGACTAAACCGCTCACCACATGGTCGTATTCCTACTTCTCAGTTTAAACTCATAAATAATACTATCATTTATAAACCGCTCAACACTCAACCGGTTTACCAACTCCGGACAACAAACCGCTCATGACTTGTCCGGTTTAAACTAGTCCGGTCAATAAGCCGCTCAAGGCTTATCCGGTTTAAAACAATCCGGACAATAAACCGACTAAGGCTTGTTCGTTTAAATGCTTATCTGATCACTCTTTGTCCGGATAAACACTTGGACACAATAATCATGGTTTCTTTTCAAATAAGAACAATACGAAGCATGCAATTGAAACCAATAGAATCTTAATACAAAAAGGTTTAGAAACCACTCACCTTATAAATCTTTTGAAAAACCAAAACTTGAAACCAACTTGATTCTCCAAACACTTGAAGTCACCTTCTTGMAATCCRKACAACTCTTCTTTAAATCACTCAAATTTCTCAAAATAGCAAAAGAGAGCAAATGAAGAGGTGAAGCCTCTTTTTATACTTTCCTTTTATGGAAAGTCGGTTTCACTTAAGACACGAGCATGCATCTAAATCCCACATATACACTTATGCATATAACCACTAACACATACATGCATACATACTCCATGCATGTACACACATAAACACATATGCATATATTATGCACATAATTTTTCATACCAGTATGTATCAAATTATCATGCTACCACATAATCATTTAATCAAATAATCACATATAAATTACCTTGAGTAATAACCAGGATCCGGTTATTACAAAATATATATAGGAGCAGCTGCTGCTTCTTCATTTAAGAATGATACCACTTGAGAACAAATATGCAGAACTTCCAAACACAATCAAGAATAAATTATATTTTATATATAATCATGATGCATCAACACTTGCACTTTAAATTCATATGTGCATGTATTTTATTACTTCTGCTAGCTACCTTTGCTTTGCCCCTCGATTATTCATTTCATTTCCTTTTTCTTTCCTTTTATCTTTTCTAGATTCATTCACTGTTATTTTCTGATCTTTTGTACTACTATTTTTGGCAGTCTAACAACAAACCACCATTCCTTCATTCATTTCTTGGAAAACAAAACCTCTTCTTTCCCTTTTCTTAATATATTGAGTTCTTTCTTCAATTCAAGTGACTGCTTTCTTCTGAAATTACTTTCCCAAAGCACTTATTGCAGCTATGGTTTTCTGCATTTTTGAAGAGCAAGAAGAAGAAACACCCTTTTATAGAATTTGTTTTTTTGAAAGAACGAAGGCAAAACAAAAAACACCCTTTTTCAGATAGGTACATACTTTTATATATATACACACACACATACATACACTTTTATGTATCTAACACAATTTTCAGGGTTATGAAACTCAGTGAATCAGTGAGGGAGTTTCAATTTTTACCGTCGTCCGTTGAGTCATCGAGAGCACTGCCGCCTGCCGGAGGCGGGAGGAGGAGGATTGAGCGTATACTGTCAATGTCGTTGTGTCGATGTCACTGGAGGACTGCTCACTGTCGTCTCATCTTCGTCTCGTCTCTCACGCTGGAGGCTATCGTCGGTCACTAGTCGCTGATGTCGCTTGCTGCTGGAGGACTGGATTCAAGAGTGGAGGGACCGCCTGCAATTGTGTATGCATAACAGCCTATGAACCAAAATTTTCCTTCTTAGTAGTAAAAAAAGCACAAGGGCCAGGGCCCTCTAAAGGCCCAACAGGCCATCCGCCCCTGGTCCCGCATCAGCTAGACTTAGACCATTTCTCTTTTATATACATTAGAAGCTCTTTCTCTCCTTAATTACTTTTTTGAAGAGTAATCTAATAGGTTTCCACATATTAATATGTCATAATCTGCAAGGAAATAAACCAAGTTTTTCTTTTTATTCATGTAAACATACCGCCAAGATGACTATATACAGTTGCATCTCCATCTCAAATAGAATCTGCAACTCTAGGCAAGTAGTTGACATCTTCAGCTCGGATGAAGCCAGTGATGGTAGATGGTTGCTAGTCGTGGGTGAGGATCTTTCTTCCATCTTTACACCACCCTGTTCCCTGGCAATTGGTTTTCTTTGTTATGAGTTTACATATTTGCATAACTATTAATATATGAAAAATCTTGATGAAAAATATTTACACATAGAAAAAACTGATGGTTTCAAATACTAACTTAGCTGAATTATCAGTTTTTGCTTCAACACTCCTGGCATCCATACCAACAGTTTGCTATACATCAATAATGGATCAACTTCATAGTATCACTAAAAGCCCAACTATGAAAAAATTTACTGAGGTCAAGCTCACAATGAAAAAAGATATGCCACTTAGTTAAGGACCATAACTGACAGGGGAAATGTGGGAAACTTTTATCATACAAAAAGACATCTCTCCTTACCATATTCAACAGAGCCAATTACAGACCTTAACTGACTGAATGAGCCTACAGAGAGACTAATGAACAAATTGCCAAATTGACCCTAATCAGTCTAAGTTCAATTTATCCTTTCCTGACAATCAAATCTAAAATGAAATGTTAATTGCTAGATTGAAACCTAATAACCAATTACTGAATCTCCCAAAGTAGAGTTGATGAGCATCTTTTTCCCAATAACAAATTAACTACCAAGGTACATCTGATCCTATGGACACTTATGAGTAACATACCGAGTGAAAAACTATGGAACTCAAACAAAGCTGAAACCCAGGTTTCCAGAAACATACAAACCATAAAATAAAGCTCAATAATCCTTCTTTCCTGTGTTGACCTTAAATTCATAATAGAGGAAAATAATTTCACTGATGGGTCATCAGTACTTAATACACACATGTCCTCACCTAGGATGTACACTTCAAAAAAGTTTGTTGACATATCATGGTAACTACTATACATTTTTTGGAACATAAGAAAGTATCATTGCATTAATATTTAGTAGTTATATCTAACCTCGGGTTTAGCAAACCAAGTCATTGACTTAAAAGTAGCAAGCCTTTTCAGCAAGTCCTCTCTGTCCCAAGGTCTGCACATGGGTGCTTGCACTGTCCCACCAGTTGCATTTTGCAACTCTTCAATGACACCTCCTTCAAACTTTGGATCAACTATAGCTAGTGTTGGTTCTTCCTTAATATGTAGAATTACACATAAAAAGAAATACATGCAGATATTTAACATGTTGCATCAAATAATTCAAATTAGTAAGTCAAAAGGATGTTGGAAAGAGACTAATTGAACAGACGAATATAAAATAAAACAATACCAATTTCTGAAGATTTAGAAGCGTCAATATCTCTTTAAATGACTTTTTGAGACTTAGGGTTTTGTTTTTTGGTTTCGTTCTCCACAAAAATCATTGATTCATTCAATAACACCTATCTATTGATCAAATAGAAAATTATAGATACATACCATATTGTTTTTCTTTGCCATTTTCAGCCATATTTGTAGAGAACCAAACCAAAAACCAAAGCCCTTCCATGTGTCGTTTCAAGATCTCCACATTTCTTATTACCTAAGCAAAGGAGAGGCGTATTTGGGAAGATGATATTTTTGAGAGTAGTGTTGCCGCCTATATTCTAAATGTGAATCAATAAGTTGTACTCTATGTTGAATCAATTACCTGGATTGAGGAGCGATGGAAGGATCAAGGGATCGAGAAGCATTTGAATTGAGCCTTGAATCATAATCTGAGAGGGACGATTGAACGATTCGGAATATGCGGTGATGGGAGGAGCGATTGAATGATTAAAGGGAAGCGAGGGACGACTCTTTTTGAAGGGAATCATCTTGGGGAGTGAGATATCAGTTTCCCTAAATCGTCGTCTTGGGAGCCGGGTAAACGGAAGTGTCGTCTTGGGGGAGGGGAGCCGAGTAAAGGGAAAGGTAAGGATATATAAGGGTATTTTAGGTATTTAAAATTTTAAGACTTTAAGACTTTTAGACAATTTGCTTAATAAGGTAGTATAGATATATAGTAGATGACTGATATTTTCTCCGCTGCAATGAATCAAATTGTCTAAAAATCATTATGATGAGAAGTTTCAGAGGCGATATATATGGATTATTAAGTCTCGTTTGGTATTGTGTGCTGATTCATTTGAGAAAAAAAAACAGAGCGTAGCATCTGTTCATCAAAAGTTGCAATAGATAGTTGGGAAAAGAGAAATATAGATATCATAAGTCATGCATGAAATGCACGCATGGATTGTTTATATATGTATTTCATGTGCATGAGCTATTGTGTATATATAAATATGTGTAAGTTATTAGCATATATATGTGTGTGTGTGTGTGTGTATGTGTATGCACATGGTAAACCAAGGTCGTAACTAGAGATGACGGCTCCTGGATGGTTAAAATAAATAGTGTCAAGGGGATCACTCGATCATTTTAGGGGTGTCGTATTTTATATTGAAATTAGAATTATGATCTTGGATTTGTAGGGGGACGCTAGCCTCTTCAGAGAACAGTTTGGACTACGACTTGTACTGTGAGTTACATGTGATTTATTTTAAAATAGTTGCATGCCTTATTTATAATTATCCATAAGCTTAATTGAAGTTTCTCGAGATTTTTGATATGCTATATATGCATGAGAAGTTCGATATTCATATAATATGTGTTTTGGTTACTTGTGTGTCAATGGGGATGTACTACGGTATGATTTTGTAAAGACGAGCATGCATTGTGAGCTTGTCTAAGCCGTAAGTGCAGACATGTGTGAGTTCGTCAGGTAATGTTGTGTGAGGTAGACATCTCCCATGACGTTGTTGCTTTGTGATGTAGACACACACTATAATATATTTATTTTGCGAAAAGTATTATTCTCATCAAGGCATGCTAAATTTATGAACCTTCGTGAAAATTGTTCATTGTAAAAGTTGTTGTTCGTGCATGAAAACCGTGGATTCACTGGGCCTGTGGCTCACCCAAAACAGTTTTAAGTTTTTCACCTAGGCGCCTATTAGGCTGGAAAGAAAGTTTGGATAAAGAGAGATATAAGGGTTAGCACCAAAGTAGGATATCTACAGATCAAGGCGTTGTTATATAGAACAAAGTTATGTTCCTCAAGATTGTAATTTTAGATGATGATATAAATTGTAAGATTTAAAAATTTTATTTCCGCTGCAATGTAAGTGTTTGATCTTGGGAAACTAATTTTGTTATATATAAGTATTCAAAAAAAATTGGGATGTTACAAGTGGTATCAGAGCAAAGTTTAAGTGAATTACGTTACTGAAACCTAAACTTAAATTGAGAATGGAAGATTTTATTATTGATAGATGTGTGACTAAAGATTGATTTATAGTGATGAGAGTGGTGATTTAAGTTAATTTGGGGTTAGTCTTAAACCAGATTAAAGTAGAGAAGTCGTTAGAAGGTTTAATATCATTGGATATAATAACATTGATAGAGATGTGTTTATGCAAAACACATGGTAAGATGAGATAAAATAGATATAGAGTCATGTTGGTGGATAAAGTTTTGGTGACAAACTCCACTAATTTGCTTTAGCGGTGAGAGCATATGTTTAGTTTTGAGAATAGTAGGAACTCAAAGTATTGATGAGATAGTTAGTTGATTCATCCCATATTTGAGTTGGGGGTCATTTCTTATATCAATTGGCGGAAAGACCAAATAGTTATATATAAGATTAGCAATGAGGTCATTCATGTAATTTTATTATGGCATCAGATCCATGATAAGAACTTATGATCTTGATTAGGTGCATGACTAGTTGAAGGATTTTACAATCAAGAGTTGGAATGTAGAAATAATATGTAAACCATATGAGAAGATCTAAGGGTTCTTGCGGGATTAGTTTCTTTAAAGAAAAGACACCATATCAGTGTGTGAGATGCTTTTGGAATGTATGAGACTATGGTTGATTAGTTTTGTTGGAAACTACAGTTTCATTATCCTCGGTGTACCTTTTCTTGATGGTTAGGGTTAAGGGGATGATTTAACTTATTTGATTTGATGAAAGTAACTATTGTTAGTAAGCATGTGTTGCTTTGAGCAAGATATGAAAGCGAGAAGGTTGTTAAAACAATGTTCATGACTGTAATCGTGTATCATGTTTAGTAAGTAAGAAATATTTTACGGTTAAATAATAAGGTTTATCCAAGCATATAACCTCTAAGCCATAAAAAGGGAGCCTTGGAATTGTTCCCATAGTTATAGCTAGAAAGACATCAAAGCTAGAATAGTGTAAAATTGCATGAAATGTTTTGCATTAAGTCAAAGATAAGTGAGTTGCAATATAAGTTGAAGATGATGAAATAAGTAAAGATGTGCACTTAGAACAATCAATGTTATGAATAAGGCATAATATCCTAAATATCAACGAGCATATAAAAGGTTATTATAAAATGCCTTGTTTAAGAATGACTATATATAAGGGTATGAATTGGGTCATTAGAACCAAATGGTGGCATGTGTGTTATGAAAGGGGAGTTAATTGATTAGTTGGTAAAACAAGAAGCGAAGTCAACTGATTGTATGTATTTGTCGTCAAATGAGAGAGTTATGACTAAACTCTAGGATGAACACAATGATGATATAAATGAAAAATGGGTTAAGTTAATTTCTATGGTTGTAGAAGGATGAATTCGAATATGAATATGGTGAAATGCTAAAATAACTCAAGGGTTGGTAGTCGACTAATAACTTGGTCAAAGTCAACAGCAAACACAATATTGTTATCGTTAAGCACATCACTCAAATGTGAAATGATATAGGAATCAAGAAAAAACTTCAGAATGGAAACGATAATGTGCAGATTAATGCATTATCTGTGTAAAAAAAATAGCCCTACCAGTAAGAAATCTCTAGTGTAGTGAAAGAAAGTATGGGCACTGGAATAAATAAGATAATACTATGTTAAACCAAAATCCTTCAAAGAATGATTGACATGTTTCATATGCCACAAAATGATGAAGGAATGAATATTAAAGGTAAAACTGAAAGTAAAGATAGTTGAATTGATAAAAGGTTAGAGAAAGCAATATGGAAATATAATAAGTTACTTAGTGAACATCTTCATCTTGGTATCTATGATTGCTAATGTTAGCAAGATGTGAAAGTGCTAAAATTGGAGTAAGATGAATGATGTTTATATATTCAGGAAGACTAAATGTACATCAATTATCATGAAGTATGTAATGTAACCATATAATATCGTAAACTTGATCGAGCTGTAAAGCAAATGAAGTATGCCAGAGATTGGAAGGAAGAACGAGAAGTATACCAAGAGTGTCACTGCCAGATTAGACAGAGGGTTCTTTTTTTTGTATATAATGATGTTACAATGTTGGAACTATGAGGTATATCTGTGAAAAAGGGAAATGATAGAGTATTTATGTCATGGTAATTGAAAATGTATGAGTTGAAATTAGTAGTAGTGGTAGTGGAGTTTGAAATATTGAGGCATTATTTAAAGAATGGATTGTATAGTCTATACTCGATAGCAAAAGACATCTCAAGGGCAAGAGAAAAGCACATGTATGTATAAATGCATGAATATGAAAATGTATGATGTTAGATGCATAGTTGAATTATGAAAGAATTTACGAGGAATATGGTGAATGCTTGCATGTTTCCATATTTTGTAGATAATTATAGCATGGTGGTATCTATGTGGAGTAACCTGTTGGTCCCGTTAGGGTTTACAAGATGTGTACAACAGTTTGCAGAAGGGGAGGGATGAATACAAACACAAAAACTTTTCAAATTTAAAATATATATTGATAAAGAATGATCAATACAGATTTTACAAGATTGTTTGCGAAAATATAAGGTAAGAAAAACCTATCTAAACAATCTAAAGTTTACACACTAAATCTTAACAAATAAAGAAAAGATTTGTTGTTAAAGAAATAGAAGAAAGTAAGTTCTATCTGGGAGAGAACTTGTTTAGAATACAATAAAAGATATTCTAACTTGCTCTTGAAGATGAGTGCATTTGTTTTTAGATGTGTGTGTTCTTTTACTTAAGCATAAGATAGCTCAGAGTAAGGGTTAAGAATATATATCTCTACATGGAGATAGAACGCATCTATTTATACCCATTGCATTAAATGCACATTTAATACAACATAGTAGGGTTAGAACGCATGTCAAGCCTTAAGGGGAAGGCTTGTCCTTTGCTACAATGAATAGTACAAAAGCCTATTCATGAGCAGACATCCTTTCACAAAGTTGGTGGGTAATAGAGTCAACTAGTCGGCTCCGTACCGTACTAACTCTTAAAAAGAGTATGGTTTGTCCTTTGTGTGTGCAAGAACAAGACAAAATCAATCATGATCAACAAGCTTCTTTTGATTGTTGAATACTGGAATAACCTGGAGGTCTCTTCAGCATTCGTCGAGGCTTAGGCAGTCTTCACACATATGTAGACAAGGTTGTAATCACTGAATACCGCTTCAGATCACGTACTCGCCAGTCTCTAATCTTCAGTTTCAGTCTTCAAATTTAGCTGAAGGTTCTTTGGTGTGAGTTTTTTCTTCTTGAAGTATTACTGTTGCTGATTGGATTTACAATACAAGTTTTTCAGCGATCACTGAACAAGCTCAGTGATGATCGCTGGAACTGAAAGACAGAATCATAAATACTTTGCATAGGATAAAAGGGATTATCATCAAATCAAATGAGAGAGAGGATCAACAATCTCCTCCTATTTGATGATAACAAGACAACATAAAGAAAGTTGTCTTATCAAATAATAGTAAGGAAAAGTAACATATAAAGTAAATGTCCCTTTTAACTATTTTTGGATCTTTTTCAATGAGTCAGTCATTACTCGAAGAATTTTCTTAAGTTACATTTATGAAAAATTACAAGAATAAAAACTGAAACTGAAAGCTTATTCACTGACTTATAGATTGTCAGTGAATGTGAAAAGTAACACTGGAACTCATAGACTTGTGTCCCTATTACTCTTTTTAGGGATCTTTTTCAATGAGGTACATTAAACACTTATATTATATTCATTGGAAATATTACAAGATGTTCAGTACATGTCTAAAACTTATAGAATATAAGATTAATCACTAAAAGTAAACATAGTAAGTAGATTACAAAAGAAAATATGGACAATATTACAAAGAAAAATAAGCTAGTATAGGATGTTTAGATTAATGTAGCCAGGTACATCTTCTCCAAGCTTCTTTCGACGTATGAATTCTCTTCGTATCTTTCGGTCCACCGTTTTTCCTTGCAAGCTATCATCTACCCAGAACATTAGATAAACCAGATGTCCCATTGGGCATAGATGTAGCTCAGACATTCTATGAAATCTTACTTCACCTTCATAGTCAAGTAATATAACTCCTAACTCATGTTTGAAGTGCACAGAGTTGGGTATATAAAGACCCTTCTCTGGCAGATCAAGATTCAACATAGAAATGTCTATATTCTCGTATTCCTTTAGGACTTCATCTAAGGAGAACATTTTTTCATGTTTGTTCCTCGGGGATGGTCCATCATTAGGACTAGAGGGTCTTTTCTTCCTTCCTCCCTTTTTTGGAGATAGCCTGTTAGGGACTGTGACATATCTGGACATCCTTTTGATGAGATCGTTGATGATGTCTTCGATAATCGGCTTCTGTCTAGACTTGGATCGCAGAATGGCTTGCCTAACCTCCAGTCATTCGCTGTATCCATAGTGGCCAAGCTAGGAAGGGTACTCGGTGATGGCATCGAGATTGTCCCTGGTGATGAGCATTGAGACAAGAGTTCCACCATCTTTGAATCGTCCGCTGATGCTGACGCTCTTGATCGGGTGAGGACTAATTCTCTTCTTTAGCTTTGCTTTGCTCCAGCTCTTTTCCCACTCATCCAGCTTCAGGTTTTTCTCATGCTCAACTTCTGCAAGAGAAAGTAACTTAGTTTGGGCTTGGACAGCATTCACCTTCTTTTTGGATTTTCTCTTTGGGAGAATCTTTTCAGCTAGTGACTTGGCCAGCTTTAGGCTATCATCAGTCTGCTTCTTCTGAAACTCTAGCTCTTCTTCAGCCCTTAATGCCTCGAGTCTTTCAGCTTCTGAAAGGAAGTCAAACTCACCACCACTAGAGGTACGAAGAGGGATTTTTACTCTAGTTTGGTTGAGTGACTCCTTTAGCTGAGCCATCTGCTGGTCGGTAGGAGCACTGAACACCAGGGTTTTCAAGGACCCACTCCAGTTGACCACAAGTAGTAGAAGGAATTTGAAGTTGATAAAGTGAAGTGATCACTACCTAAGAGGTAGAGTCTTCAAATAAGGATTGAAGGTCTTTGAAAAGTACCTTCAGGTACCCTTCTTCAGTGACACCTTTGCCTTTCGTCTTAGGATCCTGGTTCTTTGATGGGACAAACTCTTCTTCCCTTTGCTCCCCCTGGGATGCAGAATCCCTGAGGGCAACTCCTTTGGTGGCAGTTGTTGGTCGTTGATACTGAATGGTGAAGTCATCTTCATCATCGTCGTCATCTTCATCATCGTCGTCATCATCACCATCGAGGTCACTGCCGGAGTCTGGAAGGTTAGGTTCGTCATCTTCATCATCATCATCTTCATCATCATCATCACCAGCAACAGGTGCAGAGGTGATGGGAAGATCATCATCCCTAGGGATGGCATCAACTTTCTTAGCTATAACAGCTTCATCGAAGGTTGGAATTTCTTGGGCAATCTCAGCTTCAGCTTCAGCTCTAGGAGCTTCAGCTTCAGTTTCAAGGATTGCTGGAGCAACAGATGGTCCAGCAACGTTGGACCTCATCTCCTCCTTTTTGCCTAAGACTTGAGAGTATAGGCCAGAGAGTTCGTCCATGCGCTGATGTTGGGGAACCATCATTTCCTCTAGTCATGATAGAATGCTAGCTAGAGTTTTTTTTTGCTTCGCACGTCTCATTAAGCTGATCACGGTCATCAGCAATGAAAGAAAGTGGGATCACTGGTGATGGTTGACGGACAACATCCAGGATCTGCTGAAGAAGCTCTGTCTGCTGGAGAGACTGAGTTTGAGCGTCATCAACACAGTTGGATAGAATAACGATGGCTTCAGTGTTGACTCGAACAGCCACATGAAGAGTCGAGAGCTGACTCCTTACTCTTGACATCAGCTTTCACAGCTGAGAGGTCCCCAATAAATATCTGTCTTGCAAGGCATTTCTCGATGAACTTCAGACGTCTTGCAGAAGACGGTATCTATGGCTGGGAGGAGAAGCTTGACATCAGACGCCATGTCATAACCTTCATCATCTTCCCCGTCTTCTTGCTTTTCTTCTTCTTCATCCTCGTCTTCTTCTTTGTCCATACGCTGAGGTGTAGAAGAAGGACCTACAAGAGATGGAGAGTGAGCAGATAGAAGCCTGGGGTTAGAAGAACTGAAGGGGTATGAAGATGGAATACTTGAGGGGTCATCAGTGACATCCAAAGGATTGACCCTGGCTTGCTCAATGATTCCCTCGAGAGGATGAGCATCTGTAAACTGAGGAGCCTCGAAGGTCCAGTGGTGTGCGTTTCATCATTAGGGAGGACATTCACTAATGAATCATAAACACGTGTAGCGACCAAAAAAGGAGGAGAAGAGAAAACGACCGAGAAGAGAGGTGGGTGTTCAGCGGTGGTGGTGATGATATTCACACCTTCAGTGATTTGGGTCATTGAGGCGGTTGGGGTAGGTGCCACTGATACGACAATGATTGGAGAGATCACTGAAGAGCTAGGAAGGGTAGCTGAAGGTGCCTCGGGCTTAAGGCTAGTTTCAATAGTTGAAACCTATCAAGAGGTCTCAGCCAGAGATGTGGCTATCCCCTTTTTGGCCTTCTTGGCTCTCTGAGGAGAACCAAGAGTTGTTTGAGATGGTCGTTTTAAGGAGATTTTGGTGGCTGGGCTAGACGCAAGGGGGTTTTCCTTTGTCTTGACCACCGGAGGAGGAGAAGAAGGAGGGAAGGGCACTATAAAAGAAAGTGCAATGTCCCCTTCCCTCAGCATGTGATCCAAAATCGTGGATCCAAGCCTACACACCTGGAGGTTTCCTTCCTTGGAATATTTTTCTGCAAATATCTTTGCAAAAACCATGGATAGGAACCTGGTGTATGGTACCACCTTTTCTCATTGGTACTTGTTTAGGATTTGCACCAGATCATCAAAAATAACCGCAACATAATTTATATTGCGATGTTGAATTGCAGATACTCCAATTGTCAGGGTGACTTTGGAGGCATGGTCTTGTCCTCCAGCCTTTCCACCCATCGACTGGATGAAGTGAGAAAACAGGTATTGCCAAATCGCTGACATCCTGTTTTTCTCAATCTTTGACAAGGACTTCATGGAAGCATTTGAGTCCTTCTTCATTGGCCACTGGTAGCCAATGGCATCGAAACATTGAATAATCTTGACAGTGGAGGGCTTGCTGTCAAAGGGGCCCTTGGGGAGGTGAAGAGCAATCCTCATCGTGTTGACTCCGAAGTTCACGGTCATGTGGTTGAACGTGAAGGAGATCTTCTTAACATGGTGGCCATTCTTGTCTTCGAGTTCCACCACTTCAGCAGTGAACCAAAACTGCTGGAGAGCCTCTTTAACCATGATGGGCTCATGGTTAAGAGCAAAGGCAAGGAATGACCGTTTGAGGAATCGGCCGCTTTCTTTTAGAAGGCTTTGTTTGAAGGGATCTCTAACAAGGCAATGTGATTGTTGGCCTTGAAAGATACTTCATCGATTGAGAAACCTACATTCTTGGCAGCCATCTGTTTTTAGTAAGAAAAGAAGATATAAAAACAGTGTTAGTTAAAACAAGAGTTGTGTACAGATTTATGTTTTTGAACAAGAAAAACTTCTTTTGAAAAATCCTTGAAGAAGGATTAGGGTTTTTCAAGTAGAATGTGTTTGATGAAATATGATTATAACCAAGAAGAAGATTGAGTTTATAATCATTAATGTCTGTTTTTTAAGAGAACAAAGTTCTAAAAACTTCAAACATTTGTTTCATAAAAAAAATAAGAATAAGAAAAGAAAGAGTGTATCGACCTTAGTTAGTTTGAGGAGAAAGGTCGAAGAATAAAGTTTTGAAGGTTGTTCTTGCTTTGCAAATTGACAGAGGTTTGTCTTGATATTTTGAAAGCGTAAAGAGAAAAGTGAGGGAGAAGTCTCATATTTATAGGTAGGAGGAGAGAGAGTGGATAGGAGAGAGAGAAAAAGACGACGGTTGAGAAAAAAGGCCATGATGAAAAATACGTTCTCATCCATGATTGGATGACATTTAATGAGGCAGCGTATGACAGTCCTTTTTGCGCGTCTCAAAGCGTTGCGCATTGTAAATAGGGAATGTCGTCATAAAGACGGTTAATTAACTATTTTCTTTAAAAACGAAAAGGTTTTTAAGAAAACAAAGAGTCATTTAGTGTTAGAAGAATCACTGAATAGACCTTTTAAAACATTTTGATCACTGAAGAGAGAAAGAGTTCAATGATAGTTTTAAGACTTCGGTGTCGGTGATAAGAGAATCACTGGAACTGACTTTTAAAAAAAAACATTTGAGTCACTGAATAGGAAAGGTTCAGTAATCATTCTGATTTTTAAGAAAAGATAAGTATAAGAGAGACATACTTACAAAAATGTTCAGTGAACAAAGAATCACTGAAACAAATTTTTAAAAACGATTTGATCACTGAAGAAGGAAAGCTTCAGTGATAGTTTAATGTTTTTAAGAAAAGGAAAAAGTAATCGTACCTTAGAGAGAATAGATATATTTACTCAAGAGTTCAGTGACAGAGATAAAGCACTGAATCATTTCACTTACTGATCAATGTTAATAGCTGAAGAAGATTATTCCTCAGCGTTTAGCATCCCCAGTTCGCTGATCAAGATGTTAAATCTTGTCTCATCAAGAGACTTGGTGAAAAAGTCAGTGAGCTGGTAMTCAGTTGGAACGAAGTGAAGTTCAATGTCACCATTCATAACATGATCTCTGATAAAATGATATCGGATCTCTAATGTTTGGTCTTGGAGTGAAGTACAGGATTATATGCAATAGCAATAGCACTGGTGCTATCACAATATATAGGAACTTTTGAAAACTAAATATCGTAGTCCATCAGCTGGTTTTTCATCCAAAGAATTTGGGCACAACAACTACCAGCAGCTACATATTCAGCTTCAGTAGTTGACGTAGACACTGAGTTTTGCTTCTTACTTGTCCAGCTCACCAACTTTTCACCTAAAAGCTGGCAGCCTCCAGTGGTGCTTTTCCTATCAATTTCGCAACCTGCAAAATCACTATCCAAATAACCTATTAGGTCAAAACCTGAACCTTTAGGATACAAGAGACCCAAGTTAGGAGTTCCCTTTAGATATCTGAAGATGCGTTTTACAGTAATCAGATGGGATTTCTTAGGTTCAGATTGATATCGTGCACATAAGCAAGTAGAATACATGATATATGGTCGACTAGCTGTGAGATACAGCAAGGAACCGATCATTCCTCTATAAATCGTTACATTTACAGGCTTTTCATTTGGATCCTCATTGAGAGAGAGTGGAGGAGCCATTAGAGTCTTCATAGATGTACTATTGGATAGATCAAACTTCTTCAGCATATCACGAACATACTTACTTTGACTGATAAAGATACCGTTATCTGACTGTTTGATCTGGAGACCTAAAAAGAAGGTTAGTTCTCCCATCATGCTCATATGATATTATTTCTTCATACGATAAGCGAAACGAAAACATAAAGAAGGATTAGTGGAACCAAATATAATATCATCGACATAAATTTGGACTAGAATGATGTGACCTTTAACTTTCATAAGAAATAAGGTCTAGTCAATCTTTCCACATACAAATTTCTCAAAGATGGGAAACGAGGAAAGGGTATCATACCAGGCACGAGGAGCCTGTTTTAACCCATAAAGAGCTTTATGCAAACGATACACGTGGTTTGGATACTTAGGGTCGAGAAACCCTGGAGGTTGTTCAACATAAACTTCCTCTTGAAGTTTTCCATTTAAGGAAAGTGCTCTTTACATCCATTTGGTAGACTTTAAAGTTTCTATGGGCAGCAAAGGCTAGGAAGAGTCGAATTGCTTCGAGTCTAGCCACTGGTGCGAAGGTTTCGTCATAGTCGATCCCTTCTTCTTGTCTATAACCCTGAGCAACAAGTCGAGCCTTGTTACGGGTTACCACACCTTCTTCATCCAACTTGTTGCGATAGACCCACTTGGTGCTTATCACTATTTTGTCAGAAGGATGTGGGACAAGGTACCAGACTTTGTTCCTATCAAACTCAATGAGCTCTTCTTACATGGCAAGGACCCATCTAGGGTCTAAGATAACATCATTGATTTTCTTGGGTTCAACTAAGGAAAGAAAGTTGATAAAGAGACAGATATTACCTAGACCACGACGAGTCTTGATACCTGCATATGGATCACCAAGAATTTGATGAATTGGATGGTCTTTCGTTCATTGCTGAACTGGTAGAGGATTATCATCTGAGTATGGGATTTCAGGAACAGAAGATGAGGCTTTAGCTGCAGTGTCTTCAGCAATAGGAACAATTGCTAAAGGAGCCTGAGATTCATCGATTGAAACAGGTTCAGATGTTGAAGGCATTTCATTCACTGATTGATCAATGTTTGAAGTAGAAGGAGGAATACAACTAATGGGCATAACAGCAATCTCTGAAGAAGATGCGTTGGAGTGACTAGCTGCAACTAGAATGATAAGTGGATCTCGTCTTCAGCTTCAGGGGCTTCAGTGTTGAGAGGAACGTTG